CCCCAAATATTGTTTTTTTTTTGTCTTTTTTTGCTTGAGGCGCTGGAGCTGGGGATGCACCGCCCCATGCCACCACTGAAATTTTTTGTGCTCCTCCCTAACAGGCCGCCATGCGTCTGCGAAGTCGCACATCTGCTCAGACGCGTCCGCGGGGTTGCGGACCTGGCCGCGGCCGCGGACTTCGCCGCGCTTGGCCGCCGCCCGGGGGCATTCATAGCTGGCAAGGTCTTTTGAAAATGATACACCAAAAAAAGTCGCTAAACTGCACCAATTAATATTGTTCACACTCACCATCAGTTCTACTGGACGCGAACTTGGAATGGGTGATTGCCCTCTAAAATAAAAAGGCCCCCTGGCTGCCACACAAATGCACGTCGTCATCATCAACGTCTTGGGAAGGGACAAACAGGCGCACGAAGCGAGCCTTTCGTACACAAAAAAAAAAAAAACAAAAAAAAAAAACAAGAACTGGACCGGCGTAATAACCGTACGCTAAAACTGGTCGTCTACTGCAATGCCTGCCAAATTAAAATTACGAAAAATATAGCGCCACCTACAACCAATGACGGGCACCATGTAGGGCCCTTTGCGGTTTCTCCCACATTGCCAACTCGTCATCACAGTCGCCATCATCATCGTCATCACCGTGGTCGTCATCATTATTATTATCATCATTATCATCATCGTCGTAATGATCAAGTTCACTGTCATTCCCATAATCATCATCATCATCATCATCGTCATCATCATCATCATCATCGCCATCGTCATCAGCATAAAAATCATCATCATCATCATCATCATTATCAGCATCATCATCATCATCATCATCATTATCATCATCATCATCATCATCATCATCATCATCACGTTCATCATCATCATGATCACGTTCATCATCATCATCATCATCATCATCATCATCAGCAGCAGCATCATCATCATTGCAGCATTTTCATCATCGCGACATCGTCATGTTCGTCTTCGCCGCACGCCCCCCTCTCCACTTCACTCCTACTCGTCATCTTCGTCGGCGGCGGCGGAGGTTGGCCCTGTCCCCAACCACTGAAGCCCTCTCGCCTCGTCGGGCCCCGACAAGCTGGCGTCATGTTGGAACTTAACGCCACAAGGCGCCCAGTTCGGCAGGAAGTTCGGGGAGTGCCCCAACATCACCTGCGCCTTCCTCAGCCGTTCGGTCGAGGAGTTGGGTGCAGAGTCTGCAGACATGATGTGTCGTCGATGATCGAACAGACAGTGCATGGACGCGACGAGCGGGGGCTTGGCGAGCATGTTGGCGAAGTAGAAGGCTTCGTAATGCAAGTGCAGATCATCTCTTGCCATTCACATGATCCACATGCACGCCGCCAATAGCTCCTTGAAGCTTTCAGCGAGATGAGACATACGTTCATGTGCGACGCGTCTCCCATCGACGTTTTGGGTCGTTTCGACCGCCGTGCTAAATACTGCGATAAGTTGCATCACAGTTGCCTCCTAGTACGCCGCCATCTCGTCGTTTGCCGGCCTGTCTTCGATGTGCACCCCAACAAACCACAGCGGGAGGTCCATCCCCATGCCTAGCGTGTGCGCGCAAACAGTGGGGCTGACGATGTTACTCCACTCCTCACCATGCCACATCACGCACACGATGTCGGTCGCCACAGATTCCAGTACGTACTGGAAGGCGACATTGTATGCTCGCTCTCTGGTGCCCGATTTCAAGACCCAGCCATCCAAAACCCGCAAGGCCACACTCTGGACTTTCGATGTGCGGCTCATTGCTCCTTGCAACTGCCTTGCATCCGTGATCCTGATCTACACGATGTTGGATCTGGGCATGGCGACACTTCTCGGGACGTTCGCGAGTGGAAGCCCGCTTGCGACGGCGACGAGGTGCTCACGTGTCTCGTTGATGATATTGTAGAGTTTGTGCCCCTCCCCAGACGTCCATAATGATTTGTCGTCGACCCACAGTCTCGCCCGCTCTGCCAGATCTTTCACCAATTTGTCTTTGTGCACCCTGTTGACGAGAGGTTCGTCATCCTTGCCCGCCCTCTTCTTCTCCGTACGTGCAACCTCCGTTGCGCTTGCCACGTCCTCCTCCCTGCGACCTTCCGCCGTCGCCCCCTGTGGTGCTCCTGCCACAGCTCCCACGTCCACACCTGCGTGGCGGGGTTGCGACGGTTCCACCGCCGTCGCAGTGGCGGGCGTAGCACCAAATCCGACATTATCGCCCGTGCGATGCTAACGTGGTGTTGCTGGCAGTGGGACTACCTCTCTGGGCGTCGCTCCCCCTGTGGCCACAACTGTGCGCTGCTGACGTGGCGTCTGCGGCAGTGTAACGGGCTGCATTGCGCTACGTTCGGGCACCGCAGCGCCTTGGCCTTCGTCCACCCGCGCGTCTTCATTCACTTCAACGTGAATGATGCGCTCGTCGTGAGTCGTCGCCTGCGCAGATGACCCCCCAGCGATTGCACGAACATTCGACGGCAGTGGCGGCAGCTGAACGCCAGGAGCGCCCGTCGAGAAGACGTCATTATCATCAGTCCCGCTTGTTCTTCCCCACCCATCCCCGTCCGTTTGGTCACCGCTGAATGGCGCGCCGTCTCGACGATCCTTTTTCGCTTCCTTCACTTGCCGCCCTCCTCTGTCCGCTCCTCCAGCGTCGTTATGAGGTGCATCACGCTTCTTGTCGTGTGCACGAGAACCGCCTCCAGCACTTGGAGACACGGCCTTTCCCGACGCCACGCTACTACGTCCCGCAACGCCTTATGGTTGTAGACGTCCGTCGCGGAGGTGAGCCAACGACGTTCCACATTGGCAAGGAGTACGAGTACCACCTTCACGAAGAATGTCCCGCTTCGTGCGATTTACAAGGTGGCTGCTTGTGTACGTGGCTGACGATGGACGCTGATGGCGCGCTGGGAGCGGATGACAGCGAGGGAGTGGAGGTATTGCAGGATCCGCGACGACGGTGAACGTTGGCGCGGAGTGGTTCGCCCAGTTGTGGACCGTGATTTATACTGCTGGCGGTCTTGTCCTTTCAACGGTCGGAGAGCGACGATGACTCATAGGGAATGATCAGAAGAAAGATCAGCACAACAATCAACCCAATAGGCACACGATCGACTACGCAGAGGACCGAAAAAAAGAAAAAAAATAGAACAAAAATAGAAAAAAATTAATTTCTTTATTTTTTACAAAGGTTGTGCAGGTTGGAGACAGCCTAGGTGGAACCCTGTCGCTCGGCCGTAGATGGCAACCCCGCCAAGAATAGTGGCGCGCCGAGCTTTCCTACGCTATCGGAGCGGGTACTACACTCCCCGAGCGAGACCGCTCTGACGGCGCTGCCACCTACGGTATCGTATGCCCTATCCCTTCCCCACACCCCTATGTATCACACACTCAGTTCCCGACACAGATGAGATACTTAGCAGATGTAGTCACTCAGACCTCATGTACCCTGGATGGAAGGTATCGACCAAGGCCAACTCTCCCTGGCCGCGTGCAAGCATAGGCAGAATACTCCCGAACTCAGCAGACAGTTGGCCCGATGACATCCCAGTCGGGAGGCATACCGCACCCAGTCACCACGATAGCACAGGGTGCCCTATCTCTGCTATGGAAGCACCCTGCCCAGGCAGCCCTTCAAACCTGACCCCCCCCCCCCCCCCAAGTTTCAGCGTCGTCGATAGACAATCGATAGATAGTATGCCCGTGCTAAGCTCCACGTTGTGCATCCAACCGGTAAATCCCTCGTGTTGGTGCCACCATTTTTCGACCCCTTAGTTATCAATTTCGGGGTCCCCAACAGCACGCCAAGCTTCTTCTTTGCGTCAGCACACGCATACCACTTTTTTTGTTGCACATTCCACAGCAACCAACCAAAGGGCGAACTGCAGACCGAAGACTCCATTCGCCCCACACTGCCTCCAACCCGCAGCAACCGGTGTGCGAATGTTCAGATTTGAAGGGCAGCAACCAGTGTGCGAATGTTGAGTTTTGAAGCAGCCGGCAGGGTGCATCCATAGAAGAGATAGGGCACCCCGTGCTATCGTGGTGACTGGGTGCGGTATGCCTCCCGATTGGGATGTCTATGAGCGTAGGAAGACCCTGACAAGTGCAAGAGCGGAATGACAAACAACACACGAAGGAAGGGTTCACATCGTCGAACGACCTCAAATGGTGGCAACGATCTCCATGAGAGTGTGGCACATCATCTTTTAATGCGCTCTTTGAACCGCTACCTCCTGCTCCAATATGTCGCATTGCCTAGTCAAGATACTGCACTGCCGCTTGCTCGACGAATCGATCGTCGACGCCATGAGTTGGCCATGTCGGTCCATCACATTAGTGATTGCCTCGAAAGTCTGGTGACGTGCATTCTTCCGCTTTCCGCCTTGGGCCCCGCTACCTGCGTTTTGATCAGAGTCCCTAGCCGAAGAATGGTCGTCCATGCCGCCATCACCCCCGGCTTCACTTCCGACAGACTCCCCACCTCCCGCTCCTCGCCTCGGTAACTGCACCCCTTTCGAACTACCAGTGTCGGCGATGTTGGGAGGGAAAATGGTGTGGTTGCCCAACATGCCCGCATGGATCTTGTTGTTCAACACCCTCTCCATCATGAACCTGAAATTGTGCTCCTTCCGCTCTTTGTTCGACAACCTGAAGAAATCCGCCTCGCCGCTCTTCACCTAAAATCTATGTATCTTCTCGTAGTTCTGAAATATATTGTCCCACTGAAACAGTCATCGAATTCTTTCGGTGTCCCCATGTTGGCTATCTGTTTTGCAATGTCGTCCCACTTCCACTCCTTCGTTCGCATCCGGCTGTAATTGTGACCCAGCCCTGCCAGGTCCATGTCTTGCTCCCTCTTACATCTCACAAGCCGCAATTGCTCGCCCGTCGACCAATATGTCGCCGACTTCCCACCATCGTCTCATGCGCCTCCTTTGTCGCCCCGCCCACCGGATCAACCACGACCACTGCCTCTACCCGCTCCTTTCCCCCTCCCTGTCGCCTTCCCCAACGGCCGAATTTCGACTTCATCGTCGTCGTCCACTGCCTCCATCTCCTCCGTGTCTCCATCGTTGGCGTCATCACAAAATCTTGAACGCCGCCATCACTGTGTGCCCGCATGTTAGACACTCCTCGAATGATGTTGTCCATGGTAGGTTGTGGACACGCCGGTGGTCTGCAAGCGGCGTCGTCTCTCAAGTTCGCGTGCGTAGTTATGCTCACGTTCGGCATGTTCAAACGACCACCGCCGATGCGCATGTGGTCCGTTGCCAATCCGGCAGGCGCGGGGCAACCGTCTCTACTCTGTTCGCAGGACCACGCACTCTTGCCATGCTGCTGGTTAGAAGGTGAAGACCGAACACCAGCATTAACAGACACACCGACTTCAAGTGTGCACTGTTGGGTGTGCGCATCTCCTGCACGTTGAAGGGAACGTGGCGAGGGTTCGGGTTTGATCATGAACGTACGGGTCGCTGCCGTCGCACCATCGGACGACAAGCCGAACCTTAGATCAACCGGCCCGTCGTCGTCGTCTTCCAAGCCTTCCTGCAGGAGGGACGTGAACTCGCCACCCGCGTTGCGCGAGGACCCGCCAGCTGCCACCGTCTGCGACCACATCTGCATCGACCAACTGCCCAAAGGTAACGTTTTGAGTTCCTCCATCTCCGGTTCCTCGTCCGACGGGGGCAGCGGCTGCTTGTGTGGTGGTAGATGGCTATAAAACGATGGGTCATACCGTTGTCGACGCACCGCCGTGCAAGATCCTACTCTGCCCTCACCTGCCGCCGCTTCTCTGCCTGTGTCGAAGTTCGCCATTCATCGTTGCACGGAAGGCCGAATTATGGACGCCCGTCGTTTGCGAGGTTGCTTCTACGGGCGAAACACGAAACGCACGTGGAGGAAGATGACAAACAAGAAGACGGCGACGGCGAGCAGCAGCAGAGGCAACCTGCTATACATGTCTACCATGAATGTGGCCTTCAGATGCAGCATTACGGATAAACAGTACAGAAGACGTTGGCTGGCATGTCGACAGATCGGACTGCAGTACCTTCATATGTTGTTGTACGCACAAGACGACACAAGCGGACGCCTGCAGTTCAAATTTCGACCGTTGGGGCCCATCCATTGGCCGTCCGTCGTCGGTATGTTGTGCTGTGCGAGTCGGCGTCCTCCTCCGCGTTTCGCATCGAAGCCAACGGTCGACTACGGACGACAGGGCACCCCCGCTCGCCCTCCGCGCTCCACCCCGCCCGCCAACGGCTACCCCTGGTGGTCGTTGCCCCCCTCGGCCTGCCGAATGCCTTCGATGTCCGACCCTGTGGCCCGACGGATAACTTCTGCACCACGGAGTTCGATACGGCGGTGCTATGCACGCAACGCCACGACTCCGCCAAACGAGGTTTCCTAAATTTTTCAGTAGGTCCGGGGCTACTAAAAATTTTAGGATATTTTGTTTGGGTAATCCTAAATTCTTTAGGACGACTCCTAAGGCCGTTTTCACATTTTCGATCTCAAGATCGGACTTAGGAATGCGTACAACCACGAAGCAATCCTAAAACCTGGAACTTTTAGGAGTGTCTAACGAGACCCATAGTTTGAAAAAGTCCCAATTTTTTGCAAAAACGAAAGAAAAAAAGAAAACAAAATGGAAAGGTTCAATGTGTTTATAATATGCCCTTCAAGTTATGTCCTCCTCGTTTTTACTTGACCTTGTTTTGCTCCACCATTCTTCGTTTTCTTATTTTTTTCTTTTTTCTTTAGGAAAATTTTCAAAATGCCACTGAAGTTTACATTTATTTGCGTTTTGCCCCTCCGCCGACCGAATTACACTGATTTGCCCCTGGGGCCTCTGAACTTTCGTGCAGGCCCCTGTCAATGAGGGGCGCAACTTTTCGGAATGCCCCTACCGGACCGCCGGTCCGATTTCACGTGGTGGCTGTTCGATTTGCCCTTTCGCGATGGATGCATCTTCCTGGGATGCCCTCTAGCGGGGAGACCCTAAGAATTCAAATTCAAACTCCTTGCTTTTCCAGGCCGCCGCCGCGAAAAAAAAACATCACTCCACTCCACGTTCTGTGCACTGCTCCAATCCACCGTGGAGTTCATTCTTCTGCTACTACGACCTGCCGCCGCCTTGGACGTCCTCAAAGTGCATTGCCGAAGGTGAGTGTTCCTCCCCTTCTTCCACGCCTCTCTCTCTCTCTCTCTCTCTCTCTCTCTCTCTCTCTCTCTCTCTCTCGCGCGCGCGCGCGCGCGCGTGGTCTCTGTCACTCTGTGTGTGTGTGTGTGTGGCACGATTGTCACTATCACAACCCCGTTCAGCACGGTCACGGGGGGATGAAAATTGCCCGTTGCTCTAGCCTTGCCGCATAGCTCAGCGCTAACCTCTTTTGCTCTCGGCACGTTGTCGGAAGACGGTGCAGCGCAGCAGCGGAAAATGACTCGCCGCAGTCAGCCCCCACGCTGCATCAAAAATCGCGCCTAGAACGTTCACGGTCATGGTCAAACTGGACCTTAGCGCGTCGGTTAGATTTCCCCTAGGCCGAAACCTAGGGAAAGATGGCGCGGCAGTACGGCCCTCCGCAGACCTGATCATCCCCGTTGGACTGGACCGACGCGACCGCAATGGGGCAATTAGTAAGGACCGGTCCAAACGACACCTCAAACGGACCAAGGGTTAGTGAGATATTCAAGTTTGACCGGTTGGGACCGGACCGACACGGCCGCATAACTTGGCCAGAACAGGAACAGCCCTAAGAAGTCATATAGATGAACAGCCAGACCCAAGTAATTAAGATAGGGTCATGTGCTATTTTTAGCTCATGATTAACTGTTCGTCTCCCAAAGTTGAGCCTGCACCAGCCCCGTTCTAAAATTAGCACAGTCCCACGCTATTTTTAGCGTGGGACTGACTGTTCGTCTACCGAGGACTGGGCCTGCGCCAGTCCCATTCTAAAATTAGCACAGCCCCACGCTATTTTTAGCGTGGGACTGACTGTTCGTCTACCAGGGACTGGGCCTGCGCCAGTCCCGTTCTAAAATTAGCACAGCCCCACGCTATTCTTAGCGTGGGACTAACTGTTCGTCTATCGGGGACTGCGCCTGTGCCAGTCCCGTTCTAAAATTAGCACAGCCCCACACTATTTTTAGCGTGGGACTGACTGTTCATATCGCGAGGTCGGGACTGCTGCTATTTTTAGCACAGGCCCGGTCTAGAGTTGACCACAACCCCGACCATGGGACTGCAGCACTCAGCCCCGATGACCTGGCCTCTCCATCATAAAAGAGAGGCCACGTCACCCAAAAGAGACACGGAAGACAGATCAGCATGCGTGACACACGTGGCACAGATCAGACAGAGTGAGAGAACCCTCACTTGCGGGAGCGCTGCAGCTTTGGCGGAACGGCAAGGAGTGGAAGGCACGGCCGAAGAACAGCGATCTGCCAGTACGAGCATGAGGCGAGCCCAGAGCAGGAGGTAAGAGAGTCAAGCAGAAGGCAAGCAAAGGGAGAGGTAAGGAAAGGGAGGGGCAAGACTGGCTGGGAAGAAAGGGTCTGGAGCTCACCTGGTCGCCTGTCCCATAAGACCTTTCTCTTTTCTGCCCATCACTTTCCCTTTCTCTTCCCTTCTCTTCCCTCCTCTTCTCTTCTCTTCTCCCTCCTTCTTCTTTCCAACCGCTTCCGTTTTCCTTTTTTTTTACTCACCCTCCATGGGTAGTAGGCACACTGTATCTGATCCATGCGCACCAGCACTGCATCTGATAATAGGCCATGAACTGTGCATTCATGTGTTGTATTTGAGGGTTGACCTTGATACAATGGTCGACGAGCAGTATCCACTAAATAGCTGCGTTGAAAGGCACTCAAACTAAGTCTGCTGATTGACAGCCTGTGTCGAGAAGTGATCAGAATGAGTATGTTAGTTGTGCCAAGAAGGCACTTGAATCAAGCCTGTTGATTGGTTGTGCCTGAAGTATGTCTGAGCACCTAGTGCCTCTGCGACTGTGCGCACTTAGAATGCGACACTGCGCGTCCAAACTGCAATAAGTGTAGTCCTGCTTTGGCGACTGTCCGCACTTCAGTTCAAGTGCGACATTGCGCTCTTGGGTGTGGTGTAGTCTGCGTTATCACACTGAGTATCCAGTCAAGATAATTTTAAGACTGCATGCGCAGTTACACTGAATATCGAGCTCATTTTGAGAGCTTGCCTGCGTAGCCATTATTGAGTAATTAAGTCGATTTTGCCTGTGCAGTCACTTGAAAATCAGGCCAATCATGAAAACCATATCTGAGGGCCAAGTCAGGATTTTGCGCAGTCCACAAATGTGTGCCGAGTGCACACCATACTTAATGACATTATATGATCAGTGAACCCGCATGCACCCTGCCTGGTAACGATATCTGAATCATATGAGAGTGTGCGCGCAGGCGCGCGCTGCAGTTGACATAATCAAGTTTGCAATTGTGCGTCAGCTCGCACTTGAGGGCCACATGTGAGTATTCCGTAGTTTGCCATTGTGCACAGTGTGCGCACCATACTTGAGGGCCACATCTGAGTATTCTGCAGTTTGTCACTGTGCGCAGTGTGCGCACCATACTTGAGGGCCACATCTGAGTATTCCGCAGTTTGCCACTGTGCGCAGTGTGCGCACCAT